GTCTGGGTCAAGATAAGTAATTTGAGAAAAAAATTCAGGAAAACCTCTGGAGATTCTCAGTCATCCAGGTCATGGTTGTCCTAAAGATGTTTTTTTTCCAAGAGGAAACTGGACTTTCTGGTTTTTATTTGAGAACACAAAGAACTTCTTGGATGAGAAGACAAATGTCTTCAAAAAAAAACCCCAGAAAGTCCAGTTGCCTCTTGAAAAAAAAAACACCTTTGGGATTTCAGGAAAACATAGTTCACACAACATGAATGTAAGGGAGGGATAAGCAGACTGTTAATGAAACTGTTACAATAACAATAGTGCCGGCCGACATGAAATGGGTTTCTTAGTTTGGACTACATGTTGGGATTGACAGTATTTTAGAGGTCTTTATGAACAAGGCAGTACAGGAACACAAAAGTACAGGTTCTTCCCATTTCTTCACTGATGATTCAAACTTGCAATAGCAGTGGTACTTCTGTTGTCTTTGGAATACTGGTTTTTACAGGGTCCCTGCAATTGGATGGTCACAATCTGGGCATGTGGAAAATGGCCTTGATTTATGACTATTGCAACTTCCCAATCTCATGATTTCTAGCCTTTCCCTATTGCTTCCCACAAGGAAAGTAAATGGAGAACTTGGAAGAAAGTTGGAAGTTGTAATCACGTGGGGTCCTTGCTTATCAATAATAACTGGGGGGGTCTGCCGGAATTGTTGTCGCTAAGCTGGATGGTCAAGTGACACCACACTTTATAATTGCATCACTTAGCAATGGATATTCAGCCCATCACTAAGTAAGGACTACCTGTAAAATGGACAGTAGAAAACAAAATCTAAAATTCCTTTAGAAAATACTTTTAGAACACAATATTCTAACTAAAGAAATAACATCTAAATTAAAGACATTCAGCAGTGGAAATAGATGATTGCTGAAATGTGTTCAAAAAGAGATTGAACCAACATATTATAAAGCAAAGGCTGGATTTGATGCCTTAGATTGCATTTTGAATACTATGATTCTTTCACCTCATGTGACTAGATATGTCTTGCAACAGGTAGGCTCAAAATACATATTCTACTTTGGTCCAATTTTCTCAAAGCCCTGAGATTTAAAAACACTTTTATTCCCTCACCTGTTTCTTTTGGAACTGAGTCCCTGGAAACATTAACCACTATTTTCTTTCTTCTCTATTCATTTATTATAAACTATACATTGTTGTTGGGAATACCATTGTGTAAAAAAGCAGGTGAGCCAAAAATGGTATGTGAAAAGGTGAAAATCCAGCAACTGATGGAAAGGGAACTTCTGTCAAAAATGTCAAAATGTCAAAAGCCATAGACCAGGGGTCTGCAACCTTAAACACTCAAAGAGCCATTTGGACCCATTTCCCACAGAAAAGAAAACACCGGGAGCCACAAAACCCTTCCCATGCCTGACTATTTCTTGAGCGGCCACAAAACTAGCATATGTAGTTGAATTAAACATTTTGTTTCCTTCTGAAATTTTTCTTTTCTTGGATTTATCCATGGTTGGCCTACCGGGGGTTGAAAAGCTCAATAAATCGCATGTTGGTGGATTTCGCACCTTGGAAGTTATGACGCATATTTTGAATGACAGGGAGCCACAGCAGAAGGGTGAAAGAGCCACATGCGGCTCCATGCCCTACACGATATTATTTGTTAGAGATGTTGCAACTACAGATTTGGTGGTTACTCCACTAGAAGGCTTACCTGCCACCACATATGATTGTCGAAATATTTCCTTCCTTCTTTCACTGTTGTTTTTCCCCTGGATTTGGATAGAGAGAGAGATTGCAAAGCATGTGCCACAGCATAGACTGCATTGTAAATATTGTAACTCTGTGCACTCATCCGTGTTTCAAAAACAGATGTGGGAAGGGTCTCCAACCTCTCCTGTCCAGTACATTTCTTCTCAGATGTCTCAGTTTTTGAAATTGAGAAGAAACATTCGAATGCCTGTTCCCAAAAATCTTTCCGAAAGTGATCATGTTGGTTGTTGTTTGGATTTAGGTTTTGAAAAAAATCCTGGAAGTTTTGGACCTCTTTTGTGTGAACTGCAAAGGATAAAACACCATGTAGGAAATGAATGTCCATAAATTTCTCAATGGAGTTTGAAATAAAATCTGTCTGAGCGGATGTAATCAAGATTTTTGTCTTTTTTGGTATATCCACCACTTCTGATAACTGGAGGAGACTTCTCAGAAATGACATGGAGCGAATTTCACCATACACGATTATCACATTGGCTGTGCTGTTCATGAGAACATGGTATATATGTAGCATATTGTCTATGATATCAGTAAAATCACTGTAAAAAGCTAAGATTGGGAACTCTGCTATGAATTCAATGCAGATGCCATGTTCAGAAAATGTAGGGAGCACTTCTTGTACAAATCTCTCTCCTTTGTCATCATTTACCACAAGAATTCCAATCCAGATCCATCTAAAATACAAAAATAGCTTCAGGAGACCCTTATCTTCATGCGATTCATCTGGAAACATTTGTTGGAAGAAAACTGATTGAGTCTCTTTATCCATGACTGGAGCAGAGCCATAGGTCAACTACAGAAAGATAAACATATGCAATTTCAAAGGTCTATGTGAGCCTCTGGAAATGTGTAAATTTATTTGGGTAACTTTATTCTTATATACTGAAACATTATGCAGCTAGTTGTGCTTATTTAGGAATATCAACCAAGATGTCACTCTTAAGGTACCAGTAAATATCTTTTCCTGGAAGTAATACCCCCACTGTCTATTCAGATTTTCTCATTACTCATGCAGCTCTGCTATCAAGCAGAAAAATATATCCAGGAATCTGAAAATTTACTCCCTTCTAAAGAGAGAAAACTACAGACTTCTGGGGTGGTATGGCAGAATAATTATACTAATATAAATAATATTACAATACTATAAATATTATATAAGTAATGTATCTTCAGCATCTCTTACCTGAGGAGCTTTATAGATGGACAATAAAGTTGCCATGTGAAGAGAGATGTCAGGTGCTCCAATAATTGCAGCCAAATTTTGGGGGATGCCACACTTGTAGTTAGGGATGAATTTGCCCTGAGTGAAAGGCAGCAACATTGAGGCAAAGTAAGTCCATCCGGGACTAAAATTGCTGTTAAAAATGTGGAAGCCCAGCGTGATGTTGGGTAGGATCTGACGATTTTCATTAATCTGTTTTATAGTAAATGCTAAAGCCAGGATATGCTGGTAATTCTGAAAAACTATTCTGTAAAACATTTTTTAAAAAATCCATTAAGAAAACTCTGCTTCACATTATGACACTTCTGATCTTTCAGTACAATATTTTATGGAATATGTTTTAGTGCAATGTACAGGTAGTCCTTGACTTACAACCGTTCATTTAGTGACCATTCAAAGTTACAACAGCACTGGAAAAAGTGACTTATGATCGTTTTTTACACTTACGACCCTTGCAGCACTCCCAAGGCCACGTGATCAAAATTCAGACACTTAGCAAATGACTCACATTTATGATGGTTGCAGTGTTCCAAGATCATGTGATCAGCTTTTGTGACCTTCAGATCAGCAGAAGCCAGATTCACTTAACAACCGTGTCATTAACTTATTGACTGCAGGGAGTCCTCAAGAAAGATCGTATATTGGGGAAAAACTCACTTAACAAATGTCTCACTGAGCAACAGAAATTTTGGGCTCAATTTTGGTCACAAGTTGAGGATTACCTGTATTTAGTATTCAATTCAGATTCCTAAAAATGCAGACCAAAATATTTGCATGTTTATACAAGTCCAGAACCTGGAATGAGAAAGGCTCAGTATCAAATTCCAGCTGTTAAGGATGGTTTATATCACGAAGAAAAATGCTGAATTTTGATACTAGAAATATCAAATGATAAAAACATATGTGCTCCCACCTAGATTTTAGTGGTAGATCTTCATGAATTAATCCTTACCTACCTCAATATCTACATGTAATGCTTGTTACATATGATTTGTTGAAATAGAAATTTGGCCTTTTTTCAAATTTATGTGGAAGCTTATGAATCAATTTAGGCAGCCTATTTAAGATTACTGGAAAATGTTTTTTTGCAATGACCAGAACTTGAAAATAGATTGATCGTGTACTTGCATAAGTCTATCTTGAAGTCCCTGAGAAGGATGTTGGCTGAAATCAATGGGGTCAGAAAATGTCAAGCATACAGAAATAACGCCAGCAATGTTAACATCTCCAGGCTGATGATAGGTGTGATGAATAGGAAGAGGTTCAACAAGATCACATTGAAGGCTAGGATGCTTGCAGACCACTTGAGGCAATATGGTTAACAGAGATTCCATGATTGCTAACAACTTCCATAAATGTCCTCTTTCTGTGTATAAATGGCAGCAACAAGATCCTGTTTCTAGGAGATCATACTGGACTGACTTTTTCATCTGTTTTTCAGACAAAAGTAGAAATTGCAGCATAGTGTCAAATCAACTCATAGAGGAATTTTGAGCGTGTATTTCATGGTGAATATTAACAATATCCTTCAGGGTCAATTCCTCATTTTTCCATAGTGTCCCATGAGATTTGGAAGAGACAAACTGCCTAATTCTATAATAATGGTGAGACAGTCACCTGTGTAAAGATCAGGCCAGGGCCTCTGGAGGGAGGGAAGCCTAAGCCAAAAGACAAAGAATGAAAAACAAGATATGAGTTTATATAAATATATAAATGGCTGTAGGCATTTACTGTATATAGATCAGGGGTCCTCAAACTTTTTCAACAGGGGGACAATTCATGGTCCCTCAGACTGGGGGGGGTGGAGCATAGTTTGATTTTTCTAATGACTGACTGGGTGGGTGTGGCTAGGGGGGGTCATTTGACTGGGTGGGTGTGGCCAATTTAGCAGTCCATTTTGTCAATTTAGCAGTTCATTAAACAATATACAGCAGCCCCCTTTTCAAATCTTCTTTTTAATACTGCATGAAGTTTTTGTTCTAGGTTTTTTTTTTTTTACCAGGGGGGAGAGGTTGGCAATGCCTGGGGAAGGAAAAGCATGCTTTCCACAGGTCTCATGGCTATATTTAAAGGGCCAGCTAATGTCATTGGTGTTGGGAGATTCATTGGTGAGGTGATAGTGACTGGAGGTGCGATGTTCACTGGACCAGTAACTGGAGTTGGTAAATTAACAGGAGAAGTCATGGACAAAGGGCCGGCTATGATAACCGGGTGGCCTAAGCTCATTGGCTGGAGATGTTAACCATGCTGAAAAATTTGGCTGGGCATATTCATATTCATTGCAGCAGCCACAATGCAGGGAGCTGCTCCTTCTGTACTCACCCCCCAATTGTCAGCAGATGCCCCGTTTCTCCTGGGAAGCAGTCACATCCCAAGTGCATTCTTTCAAAGCTGGGGGGGATGGCGTGCCCCTTTGTGGGCCCCCTGCTTGATTTGCCCCCTATGCTGACACCCCCTGCTCTTCCTCACCAACATCCAGGGTTTGTGCCAGGGTGGCCAGACCCATCATGCCAGTGGGGCCAAAGATGGTGATTTTCTTGCAGGCTGTGGCAACCAGGCCTCCAGTTGCACAGCTTCCCTTCGTGCTTTCACTGTTGCCTCCTCACTGCTCCAAGCCAGGGCCAAAACAAGCCCTTCCACCTGGAGCTCCACCCGGGCAACTGGACCTTGACAACTGGACTGTTTCTCTCTGCCCCCTTTCCTGTCTTGTCTGCTGGATTGATGCAGGGGGACGTCAACCCTAGCTTTGCTGTCCATTGCAGCTAGGAATCTCAAATAAGGCCAAGAATGAATGTTTGTGTTGTAGCTGCCCTGTGTTAGATATCAAGTACAGTTCAAATGAGCCAATCAGGAATTAGTCCTGAGAGCGGGAAATTAGAAGGCACGTCAGTGGTTGCAGCCGGGGACAGCCCCTTCCTATATAAAGGGTTGCCCGGGGTTTGAATTGCCATTGCTGTTTCTGGAGTTAAATAAAAGAGTTACAGTTACATTGTTTCGAGTCTTCCTTCAATCGCCCACGATTTAACATTGGCGACGAAGGTGGGATCTGAAGGAACAGGACTGCACATCAATCTCCAAGCAATCATCAGCCACCCATCCGATCCACTGAAACACCGGTCAGATCATCGGCTATCATGATGTCTGCAATCACACCGCCCGCTCCATTCAACCCAACCGGGGAAGATTGGGAAGCTTACATGGAGCGATTCTATATGTTCATGGAGGCGAACGATCTGCTGAGCTTATCAGAGCAGAGGAAGAGGGCCCTTTTCCTCACCCATTGCGGCCCGGCAGTGTTTAAAATGGCAAAAACGCTTGCCGCCCCAGCCGATCTGAAGACCATGACCTGGACAACGTTGCAAGAAATACTCAAGGCACACTACGCACCACAAGCATCATCCCTGGTAAGAAGGCATGAGTTTTATCGGAGGGACCAAAGAGAGGGAGAGACAATCAGTGCGTTCGTGGCGACCTTGCGGGAAATAGCTGCCGCATGCGATTTCCTGAATCTAGAAGAGGCCATGAGGGACCGTCTAGTACTGGGACTGAGGGACCTCACATTACAGAGTAGGTTGCTGGCCCGGCCTCAAATTACATTCAAGGAGGCCTTGGAAGAAGCATCCGCAACTGAAGCTTCCCAGAAATCGGCGGCGGCTATGAAGCAAATGAAAAGCGGGCCGCCCGTAAAGGAGGAGGCGGCCGTGCACTATGAAAGAGTGGAATCGGGTTCGGAGGAAGAGGACGAGGAGGATGAAGTCCATCACCTCCGAGCCGATCGCAAGGAGAGATAACAGGGGAAGAGAGAGGCCTGGTGCTCGGGATGCGAAGGGAACCACCCGAGAGCCGAATGCAGATTCCGGGACGCTATCTGCCAAAGATGCGAAAAGAAAGGGCACATAGCGAGGGTCTGCAGGGCATCCCAGCCAGCCTCAAGGAGGACCAGACCCCCCCGATCACCAACAAACAACAGAAAATTCCAGACAAGTGGGAAGAGACAACCGTTTGGGCGAGGACAAAGAAACGATGACCATCAGGCGGATCGAGGCGAGACCCATCAAACCATCGTGATCGGCCATGCCAGCGCGGGAAGGGCAAATAAGATGGCGGCAACAGTCTTGATCGAGGGGAGACCCTGCAGAATGGAGGTGGACTCGGGATCCAGCCTATCGATGGTATCCTGGACAACAATCAAGAAGCTCCTGCCACACATCACAGCCCGCGACCTCAAATGACAGCGCCTCACCCTCATCGACTACCAAGGGAACCGAATTCCTGTGGTAGGCATTGGCAAGTTCAACGTAGCCTACAAGACATTCAAAGCCACGCTACCCCTCACGATTGTGGACAGAGACCGGCCCAGCCTGCTGGGCATGGAGTGGTTCGAGCCATTGGGGCTAGCCATCACCGATGTCGATCACATCAGAAACGACACCTGGGAGGAGGACCTGATGAGGGAGTTCGCAGAGGTCTTTAACAATGAGCTAGGCAAGTACAAAGGGTCCCCAATCTCATTCAATTTAGACCCCCAGGTAGCCCCAATCCGAATCAAACCCCGGAGAGTCCCTTTTGCACTACGGCCAAAAATAGACGAACAATTAGATAAACTGGTCACGCAGGGAGTGTTAGAGCCAATAGACCACGCGAGATGGGAAACCCCCATCGTGACACCGATTAAACCGGACGGGTCAGTACGCTTGTGCGGAGACTATAAAAGTACATTAAATAAGGCGCTCCAACAAAGCGCATACCCTGTACCAGTAGTCCAACATCTCTTGCATTCCTTGGGGAGGGGAAGAATCTTCGCAAAATTGGATTTAGCACAAGCATACCAGCAGCTGCCCGTAGATGAAGCCACCGTGGAAGCACAAACCATCGTTACACACAGGGGCGCATTCAAATGTAAGAGACTGCAATTTGGGGTGAGCGTAGCACCCGGGCTTTTCCAAAGCCTGATGGAATGACTCCTACAGGGAATCGAGGGAGTCGTCCCATATTTCGATGATGTATTAATATCAGCAAGGGACACGACTCAATTGAAGCAGCGGCTGAGGGAGGTGCTGACAAGGTTCCAGAAAGTGGGACTCAAAGTTAAAAGGGACAAGTGCCAACTAGCAGAGACTCAGGTCGAGTTCCTGGGATACTTGATAGATGAGTCGGGAATTAGACCCACCCCCGGGAAGCTGAGAGCGATCAAGGAAGCACCCCCCCAAAAAAATAAAACCGAACTGCAGGCATTTTTGGGGTTGCTTAACTTTTATAATATCTTCCTACCGCAGAAAGCTACCACTGCTGAACCACTCCACCGGCTACTGGACAGGAAGGCAGAATGGAAATGGGGGGAGCGAGAGAGGAAAGCGTTCGAAGACATAAAGAACCTTTTAACGTCAGACAGAGTTTTAGTGCAATACAGTGGGACATTACCCATAAGACTAACTTGCGATGCATCCCCCTTCGGCATCGGAGCTGTATTGAGCCACAAGATGCCTAACGGAACAGAGGCCCCCATTGCATTTTTCTCCCGGACTTTGTCAAAACCCGAACGGAACTATAGCCAATTGGACAAAGAGGCGTTAGCCGCAGTAGCCAGAATAAAAAGGTTCCATGAGTATCTCTACGGTCGGAGTTTTGAACTAATAACCGACCACAACCAATTGTTAGGCATCATAGCAGGGGACAAACCAACACCCCCCGTTTTGTCACCCAGAATGCTAAGATGGGTGGAGTTTCTGGCGGCCTACAAGTACACACTGCTCCACCACCCGGGAAAATCAATCGACCATGCAGACGCCCTCAGCAGGTGCCCACTTCCAGAAACGGGGGAGGATCCAGCGCCAGCGATGACCACCCTGCTAATCGAGACGATGGAGGAAGCCCGAATTTCTGCAGCTGACATCGCGAGGGCCACCTCAAAGGACAAAATACTGGCGCGAATTTTAAATTGGATCTGGAAGGGGTGGCCGGAGGAAAAAGACATAAGCACAGAGTTCCTGCCATACAAACGGAGGCAAAATGAACTGTCAGGACTAAGGGGGTGCATGTTGTGGGGGGATAGAGTCATTGTTCCAAACACACTAAGACAACAGACACTCAGATTACTCCACGACGGGCACCCGGGGATCGTGAGGATGAAAGCCCTGGCCAGAAGCTACGTGTGGTGGCCCGGGATGGACAAGGAAATCGAGACGTGGGTGTCCTCCTGCGCAAACTGCCAAGAGTCGAGGGCAGCACCAAACTCAGCCCCCGTCCACGACTGGGAAAACCCGGGAACACCATGGGCCAGATTGCACATCGACTTCGCAGGGCCGTACAAAGGGAATACGTTCCTAGTCATCGTGGACGCATATTCAAAGTGGCTCGAAGTAGTGCTCATGTCGACGACCACAGCAGACGCAGTGATTAAAGTATTGAGACGCCTATTCGCCACACATGGGATTCCCGACCTCATAGTCTCCGACAACGGGCCGCCGTTCACATCAAACACCTTCGAGATGTTCCTCGCTGACCAAGGAATAAGGCACGCCTTATCGGCCCCCAAAAAACCTTTGATGAACGGTTTGGCGGAACGGATGGTGAGATCTACAAGGGAGACGCTTATGAGATTAGGCCCAGGGGACATTCAGGCCAAATTAGATAAACTATTAGCCATCCAGCACATTACACCAAGCGCCACGACCCACCGAAGCCCAGCAGAATTATTAATGGGCCGTAAGCTGAGATCCCCTCTGGACAGACTGCACCCGCAGTACAGCACAGAGAAGCCAACCAACTCCACGAGCAGAATCCGAGAGTTCCAGCCAGGGGACAGAGTCTACGCAAAAAACCTGAGCGGAAACCCACTCTGGGTACCAGCAACAATAACCCAGGTGACGGGGCCCCTGTCCTACCGGGTCCAGACAACAGACGGCCAGCACTGGAAAAGGCACATCGACCAGCTCAGGGGAAGATTAACGAGAGTCGAGAGGGAAACCCAGCACAACAACCAGGGGGAAGGAAAAGACACGCAAGTGGTACCAGAGTGGGCCAATACACAAACGCCAGTTCTGGACACGCCTAACACCAGCCCGGAAGAAGATAACAGCGAGCACGTACCTGAGTCCACGGAGGAGGCGACAGGCGCCGAAAGGAGCCGGCGGAGACAGCCAAGTAAAGTGGGAGAAGGAGGCGAATCCACGCCGGAGACCGAGTTCGAGAGAGTTCCGGAGCCCACACAGAGGAAGCAGTGGACCTCAACCTCTCAACCCGAAGGCACCGGAACGACTGAACTGCGCAGGTCCGGTCGAACCTCCAAGTGACCCGCCTACTTACGCGACTACGTAGCATAGAGACCCCGGATGGGCGGACACTGAACTAGGGGGGAGGAGTGTTAGATATCAAGTACAGTTCAAATGAGCCAATCAGGAATTAGTCCTGAGAGCGGGAAATTAGAAGGCACGTCAGTGGTTGCAGCCGGTTGCCATTGCTGTTTCTGGAGTTAAATAAAAGAGTTACAGTTACATTGTTTCGAGTCTTCCTTCAATCGCCCACGATTTAACACCCTGGGCATGAGATCAGCCCCCTGCAAAGTCCTCATCTGCCAAGGAGGCTGGCCCTGGTTCACTGCTCGCTGAAATGCCTGGACTCCCAGTGATGGAGGGAGGGCTGGAGTTACTAAACAGACAGCCACATTAAGTGCCTGAAGGACTCCATCCTATTACTGGGAGTCCAGGTGCCTCAGTGTTTGGTGAGCAAGACCTTGGCTAGGCTCCTTGAGAGAAGAGGAATTTTCAGGGTGCCGATCTAGTCTCCAGGCTGGCTACAACACAATGTTCATTCTCAGCCTTATTTGAGATTCCTAACTGCAATGGACAGCAAAGCTAGGGTTGATCCCGATTACTTCTCTCCACCGCAGTGCTTCCTGGATGAGGCTTATAGCTGCAAGCCCAAAGCAGCGGGAGGTGAGGGCTGCCTTGGTGCCACAAGGCTCAGGCTCTTAGCAATCCACGGAGTACATGCTCAAATCGGCACTGAGACCAAAAGGCAGCTGAGGGTCACTGTGTCCAACCCCCCCCTTCCCAAGGTGGTCCTTCAGCCAAGCACAGTAGGTCTGGGGTGGATTTCTCTCCCCCACCATTAGCCTTACCTTCCAGATCCAGTCCACGTGACTCACAAAGGCCTGCACTTGGCTGAGGAGTGTGGGCAGGGCAATGGGCAGGGCGATGTGGGAGGGGCAGCCTCATGGTCATGAACAGCCCAGATTAATTGCTTCAACAGGCCATATCCAGCCCATGGGCCGTAGCTTGAGGACCCCTGCTATAGATGGATACTATAGATTCCATTCCATTCTAATTATTTTGATGCATTTTGAATCAGTGATGACTTCTGGTGCCTACCTGGATGAGTCCCTACAGTTTTCTTGGCAAACATATTGGGAAAGTCTGTTTTACTTCTTAGGATGAGAGAGAATAGTTGGACCAGCTCCCTGAGGTAGTTTGTACCTTAGGCATGATTTATATTCATGGTCTTAATAGGCAGAGCCATGGTCAAAGAATCAGTAAGATACATAGCACACTGGCAACAAAATTGGGACTCTGAGTCAGTATCTTTGTCAAGCTTCCAAGTAATATGTTCCCTGAAACAAAACCTAAGGCATTCATCTATCTTTAAAGTTTGTTTATTAGAAAAAGAAATAATTGATGGAAAGGGAAAAGAGAAATGCATTGTATACAATTTAGAATTAAAAATGAATTGAAGTAAGATTTCTAGATATAATGAATTTTAGAAAATGCAACAGTTGAGATTGTAATACTTGGAATGTATTTAATTGTAAAAATGAAATTAATTAGAATATTGGAAATTAAGCTGAAAATTAATTTTGTTTAAATTAAAGCAATGGATAATTACTTTGATTTATAAATGAACTGAAATAAGATTTAGAAATACAAATAAGTTTAATGCATGAGATTGTAATATTTGGAATAATTTAATTAAATTTATATATTTGAAAAAGTAATTGAAAATTGGATTTAAAATTTAAGAAAACGTACTGTGCAAAGTAATTTGGTTTATTGTTTAATAAAAATGATTGTAATGTTATATACTTAAGTGACTTTTAGTAAGATATTGGTTTGTAATATTTGGAAAAGTTGACAAAGAAAAATATGTGATTAGAATAAGGGAATTTAGGGAAATATGGGGAATTACATTATGTTGTGAGATTTTAAACTTAAGGGTTTTAACTTGGAGAAAAAAAAGGGAAAATTGAATTTGATTAAGATTAGATATTAGGGTGAAGAGTAACATTGGTTAATAAAAATTAGAAAGAAAGATTATTATGGCAAAAAGTGAAATATATAAATTGTGTTGGAAATGACCAAAAATTGTATAAATATATGACTCGGCCAATACTCTGTTCAGAAAAAATGCATTGTATGTCTGTTTGTATGTTTGTGTAAAAAATAAAAAAATGTTTATTAAAAAAAAGTCTGTTTATTAGGAGCATATCAAATTGGCAAGGACTTGGTGTAATTCCGACTCTGGTTAGATTCTGGAATTATACCCAGCAAAAAGGAAAAGTTTGAAACTTCCCTCCAGAGTCATAATCTCCAATCAATTCTTAGTCCATCATTCCAGTGACTCCAAACTCCACCTTCCTCCAGCTGCAGGATCTTCTCTGTTCTCACGGGAAAGCATGCCACCTAGACATAACATTCGCCCTTTATCTCTATAACCCCTCTTTCAACAGCTAGAGAGTGGCGAGCATGAAATACCATTAAATTCCTTTGCAGAATGCCTAAAGTAGCTAAGAAAAGAATAGACAATAGCTAGAATAAAATATGGCTACACATATGCTGTCTTCAGGGCCGACAATCTTAGAATTTCGAATGTACAGCTTTTAAGGCACAGTGGTCTTCGTATCTGCAAAACATTTGATGTTTTTGGCAAAACAAAACATTTAACACTTTGACTTTAAACATTCTAAATGTGTCCGGAACATACAGTAGACGTAGTCCTCAACTTATAACAGTTCGTTTGGTGAAGGTTCAAATTTACAATGGCATTGAAAAAAGTGAACGATGATGATTTTTTACACTTATGACCATTGCAGCATTGCCATGATCATATGATCAAAATTGGGACACTTAATAACTGATTGTTATGTATGATTGTTGCAGTGTCCCAGAGTGTCATGTGATCACCTTTTATGACTTTCTGACAAGCACAGCCAATAAGGAAGCAAGATTCACTTAACAACCCTGTTACTAACTGTAACAACTACAGTACTTCACTTAATAACTGTGGCAAGAAAAGTCATGAAATGGGGCAAAACTCACTTAAAAGAATTGGGACTTATTTAGCAACAAAAACTTTGGACTTAATTGTGGCCATAAGTCAAAGACTACCTGTAGTTCTTCCCAAGGGTAGGTTCTACTTACCTTTGCTATCAGTTCACAATGGGAGTGCGTGTGTGTGCTTCTGCACATGTGCAGACGGTATTTGATGACATCTGGGCGGGTGGGCAGTGTCAGTTTTGGAAGACAATTTTCTTTTTGCTTTTAAACTGCCACATATTTTAGCTGGGGAAGTTGGGAGGGGGTTGTTGTTGGAGCAGTAAAAGTAAGTCATAACAACATTCCATACTCAAGGACTTTTGCCGGCGTCTGATGCAGACTATATGAAGACTGTATCCGGTGGAGTGTGAAGAGTTGATTGGACAATGTGATGAACTTGTGGGTGTGGGGCAGGGCTGTGAACTCTTAGCTGGGTGGGGGAAACCTGGAAGCTTTCAGATTCAGGTTTTCCCAGATGTGCCAACATGACATCTCTAATAAATTGGAACTTTGAGGAACCTCAGGCCTCAGAGCTTTATTTTGTTGGGGGTGTTCCTTGGAACCCTGACATTAACCTGAATCTCTAAATATCCCTGAAAGGGGGATGAATGGGGTGCTGAGCCCCAGCACCAACCTGAAGCTTGGGTGGTGCGAAGACTCAGCGAAGATGGAAGGGAGAGAGAAGATTGCAGAGAGAGCCATGGGAGCACATACTGGAAGGTTTGTCGATACCCGGTATTCTCCTTCTGAAGGCGTGGGATGAGCCCTTGAAGCTGCAGAGGTGATGCAAAGCCTAGGAGCTCGGTCCAGGGAGATGGATTCTGGGAAAAGTTGCCAGACTGATCCAACTCCAGAGATGGGACCAAAAGAACGATCGCCTGGATGTCATCCTGTATCCAGCCCTCATCAACCTGCCTTCATAATACCTCCTGCTGAATTTATCCCCCCAGGCTGGGGATTCTATCCCAGCCAGGAGTGGGTCCAGTGCCAGTGGATGCCAGCGCCTGCTGCTCCCCCTCTTATGGGATCACCATGGGCCCAATTTGCCCCAACGATCCCAGCACTGCCGTGGGGTCTGATCCAGCAGCCAGCTGCGCCGCTGCTGCAGGTTCCAGTTCAGCTGCAGGAATTCACCCCGCCTCCAGCCGCCATGGTGATTCCGCCAGCAAGGGCCCCACCACCATGGTTGAAAGTGATGTTTGACGGTAAGCCTGCCAAACTGGCCTATTTCCTCAGCCTAGTATGGGCTCATATAGATCAGTATGGAAAGCAGTACGAAACAGATCACGACTTGGTATCTGCGATCTCAGAAGAGATGAATGAGGGAGATGCTGCTGACTGGATAGCCCAACTGCATAATGAGGGGGTTGATGAATTAAATGATGCAGAAGGTTTTGTTGAGCTGCTCCTGGCCAGATTCGAAGACCAAGACCGAGTCAAAAAGAGTGAAGCTGAGATAAAGGTGATGAGTCAAGGAAATTGACCCATAAAGGACTTTGTATGGGACTTTAGGCGGGTCGTGGGGAACTTCAGACATTGGCTGAACAGAATACTTCTGCATTATTTTAAAGAAGCCATTGATCAAGAAGTCAGAACCATCTGTGGAATCCGGGGGATGCCAGAGCGACTGCAAGACTGGTATACCATGTCAATAGCTCTTGATAGAGAAGTTCACAACCATTCAGCTGAGAGGCCCCCAGGGAGGACTTTTGCTAGACATCCTCTGACAGGCCCCACTGGAACCTGCTCAATCTACAGGGATAATCAAGTGCTACCATTGCGGACAAGTGGGTCATCGAGCTGTGGAGTGTCTGGCACCTGCGCCGGTTCCACACCCATGCCCCACCACATCAGCCCGAGGCAGAAGGGACCCACGAAAGCCCCCGGATGCCAGCAGAATTGTCCGCCAGGCAGTCAAGGCTTCTCCTCCCCCTGGAGAGAATGAAGAGACCTCATCCAAAGACTTGCTGCCTGGGCTGGCCAGC